CAATAAATGAAAGAAACAGTAATAACTTCACAAATTACACTCGCCAGCAACAGTACTAAATAAAAAATAACTTTTCTCTTCGGCGACCCTTAGAGTTTTCCCGAAATTTTAAGACGGACCCCAATGATAAGCTGCTTTACTATCCAAAATGTTTACACAAGACAACGACCTGTGAAAATAAATGAATAAAGAATCGGCGCCTTCTACGCAGGCTTCCTGTGGAATCCAAGATCCTGGGTTGAATTGTTCAAAGCTGGGTTAATATAACCCAGGGTTAGTGCGAAATTTGAATCCAGATTTGAAAGCTTAAAACGCAAATTCAGTTTAAAGACAGAATCCGTCAGGAAATTGAGTAATTTTAATTTTCAGTGGACAAAACCTTTGTACCAGAATAATTTAAAGCATACCGCATTCGTTTTTACATTCAGTTCAAGGGCTAAAGATGTAAATTAGTCATCTGTAATAACACCAAAGAAAATTTCTTATCGGAGCCCGAGAAAATAAATGTCAAATTTCACAAAACGACATCTTATACATGAAAATTTTAAATTTATTTTCTCAGACTCCCATAAGAAATTTTCTTTGGTGTTACTACAGATGACTAATTACATCTTTAGTCCTTGAAAGGCAATATTCCTTAAATTATGCTGGTACAAAGTTAAGGTGACTCGACCCAATTATTTTGTGGAGGTACCATCCTACTTTGAAGCTCTCTGGTATCCCCACCTTTACTTTGATCGCCGTAGGTCCAACATATAGCATGGATAACATATAGATCAATCTCCATTATAACATAGCTAGAAAATTCGCCTAATCAAACTCAATAGCGCGAGCGTGCTTCGTATTCCTATTGAGCACGCTGATGATGTCAATAAACTATTCGTAATTCCTCGAGTTGTTGTGAGCTTAGCAATCCTGAGTCTCTTGAGTGCATCCATAACTCAGCAATAGACAATGAAGCGTTTACCATGTGTTTTGTAAAGAAATTTAAGAGGAAACGTTTGAATTTGTTAACCGATAGTAAGGAAAAGAGGTGAGTGTTGTTGTTGTTGTTGTCATCTCCGCGAGCTGTGCGGGCTATGGCGTGAGCTCATTCTTTGCAAAGTTGTTTTCTCTCAATAACAATTTTTCGGTAAATTAATAGTTTTCCGGCACCTAAATATGGATTTTACAATCATTTTAGAGTACACTTTCTCTCAGTTTCAGGATAAAAACATAAGATTAACTGTGAGGAAAAAAGATATATTCACGTAAACATTGACGCGTACTGCTTTGAGCGCGCCCTTCAATAATAAAATTTTCAGTTAACTGCTGCATTGATCGCTTTGATAATGTTATAAAACAATTAGTTCATGCTGCAGCTGTGCGTATGTCGAGATATTGAGCACTTGGGAAGTTTGGAGAGCACTCAAGAGGCTAGAGTTGCACTCGGCTGCGCCTCGTGCAACTCTTACGCCTCTTTCGTGCTCTCCAAACTTCCCGCGTGCTCAATATCTCGACATACGCACGCTGACGCATGAACTAATTGTTAAATATAGCATAAACGTTTTGGCGATCGGAGTAAATGTCACGTGGTTATAGTGCCACGCCTCTTTCGGGTCTGAGTCGAAATTCTGCTGTTGCCGGCATTTTTTCGTGAAAAACTCTCGGCTACATATAGTGCGCATTAGTGCCTTGCGTTGAACAGAGTTTCACCTAAATCGCAAAGACCCAATTCGAGAAATTCAGCGATTTGCAAATTTAGGTCATAATTTATGTGAAGATGATAAGCAAACTTTACACGATTATATCTAATAAACTATGAGATTTATCCCTTTATTTTGGGGATCTTTACAACAGATGGGTCCTTGCAAGTCAGTAAAAAGCTTTAGGGCCTTTGTAAATGCGCGCGATTTCGAGCAATGCGAACATATACAAATTAAAGACCCGAAGAGGCGAGGCACTATAACCAAGTGACATTTACTCCGATCGCCACATACGGCCACATACGGCCAGAAAAATCGGCAAATGCTTCACGAAGACAATCACTTCTTGATTTCACGAAGTAAATACGTTGCATATATGGTCTCTTGCAATGTGATATTTTAATAGTTTGCTTAGAGACAAAAGGAATTTTCTCTCCGTCAAAGGCCTAGTATTCACATAAAAAATCGTCCCCGTGTCTAACAAAAAATCATGCAGTCAAGATGTACAGAGCGGCATTGATCCAAGAACAAATATAGGTGTTTTCAGAAAAAAGGTTTCCTTGAATGCCGTTATTTTACATGTTAAAATTTATCCTTGCACTCAAGAGTTAACCCAAAATGTATATTGGATTGGCCACAACTGTCATATTTAAAACCCAAATATGGCAAAGTTACAATGAGGCCAACATGTGCCTAAAAATATGCACATCAAGTTAGTCTTGTAAGTAATAAATTAGGAACCATCTGAAAAATTAAGGGTGCTAACGCCCCAACCCTTTTCCCTCACCACTAAAGCCCTTCTCTCTCCAGGGTCTCCGAATCGGGGGTTTGATAGGTAGATGTATGCCCCATGATTATCATGGTAATTAAAGGCTGGTCATGGACGACTGGCCCAAGCTGCTGACTAGAGCAGGGAGCCCGAAGCTCCTTTTGGGCCTCAGTCAGGGACCCATCTATCACCAAGTAAAATTTTTAAGACAGTTAAAGTACCTTGAGTACAGTATTCCGCAAATGTTTTGTAGTCTTTCCTTGGCTTCCTTAAACTGCGACGGGTCGTCCTTCTTTCCTCGGAGCTACGCGACGAGCAAAAATGTAAAGTTATGAACATCTACTGTGACTCAAAAGTAAAATAAGAGGCTGTTCGCAGTCTATGGTTTCCCTTGCAGTCTGGGACTGCCTACAAAACATTGCTTGTCAGTACCGATCAGGCTTGAAACAGCCATGGCGCCTGCATACATTTGAACCACTTCACACTTAAAAACCATTTTTGACTCTTCAACATCCAAGCAGAACCAATACTTAGAAGCAATACCATTACATACTAAGACAAGCCCCTTAATAATGCTAACTTTGAAACTTGGCCTTCAAGCTACCGTAAGAACGCGCTAAGCCTTGGCATCTTTAACGGTCGCTTGTGAAAACCATTTTGCCAACTTCTGTGGTTTTTATTTCACGTCGACTGTTTTAAGATTGTATTACACAGAATGAGATAATTCTAAAATGACCTTAGCAAACTTATATTATTATCATCATTATTATTATTTTACTGTTATGATTTTTGCTATTACATTAATATCATTATTATTAATTAAAAATTGTGAAAAATTTTTTTCAAACTGACATTTTACTTATCTTCAAAGAGGATGCAGTCAAAATTCTCCCTTGTTTTTTAGCTTGAGGTAGTTCATAAGCGTGAAGAGGAAGCCCTCCTAACTGCCGATGCATATCGGGTGGCATTTGAGCAGCAGCTAGCGAAGAACTCCTCACTCATTTACGAACTACTAGAAAAGTCAAGATGGAAAAAGAAGATCAGTTTCCCCGGAAAAAGAAAAGAAAAAACAACGGGTGAAAATGGGTTAAAAAACGAAGAAGAACAGTTGCTCCAACAGATTAAAGCCCACAAAGACGACATAGTTGCAAAGCTCCTTGGAATGGTAAGCGTTTATGAAAAGAAAATCTTACAAATTCACAGCTCATGGAGGATTTTCGGTTGAATAATAGTCCAGTCTTTGTCTTCGTTCTTCCAGGGTTCCTCGAAAGCTCAGGCGACAATCGCTGTCCAATGGTCACGGCAGCGGTTGAGCAATCTTTTTAAGAGGATATAAGATCTGTCGAATTTGTTTCTCAAAACTTCATTGGCTTAAAACAAACATATGATTGGAAATAACGCTAATGTGGGTAGATAAAGGCACAATGTGCACTTCTTATGAGTATAAATGTGATTATTTCCTTGGTTGCTAACCCCCAAAATTTAGATTTTTCCCGGGAGGCCCTAAGACTCCTCCAAAGGAAGAGGCGGGTGCTTCCCTTTCCATACCCACTCAAACACGTGAGTGCTTCCAATCTAATCTGTTGCTCTTCTCCTTCTTATTTAAATTTTCTAGAGAACTCTGTATTTCTGCTGTGGGTCTCTGTTGAACTTAAATTTATTGATAATGTAGCGAAGCGAATCAAAAACTGCACCTGACTATATCGTCACCCTCCACGTTTACATGTTATGTGTCAGTACTGCTTTTCTTTGTTATTTGCAGCTCACTGACAATAGCGAGGCTCTTGCCCATCAAAGACTAGCGACCAAACTGTTGGCAGCGAAGATGAAAGCGATGGAGAGAGATAGTTCTGCATTTTCATCAAAGGCGTTACAAATTGAGACTTGAATGGTACAGCTCTGGTTAAAAGTGTTGAAAAGTACAGTGAAGTTATAAAATAAGCTCCACTCGGCGTCAGAATTCCTTGAGATACTTTATCTGCAAATAATTTTTTTGATTATTTATCCTATCGCATTTTTTGAGAAACGCCAAGACCAAAAATTGAACATTTAGGTCCTCTTCCCCCCCGCCCCCCCTCCCCTTACTAGTTCAGCTGATCAGTGGGCTTATAGGTAGCAAAGAACAGTTAGCACCATAGAAAATAGGGTGGCCCAAACAGGTAACACCCGTGAAAGAACTAACAATAATGGTGGCTTGAACAGTAGCATCATATACAATAGGGTGGCTCAAACAGTTAACACCCGTGGAAAAGCTAAGAACATGGTGGCTTGAACAGTTAGCACCATAGAACTTATAGTATCAAACTTGTACCCGGTTCACGTTGAAAGTATCTTTACAGTTTTGTCGCCGATTGTAAGTTTTGGTTCTCAAGAAAAAGTGTCAAGAGGATTTTATGAGCGTGTGTGGAGAGCGTTTTCGATTGATTTTTGCTCGTTCTCTTTTTGGTGCGACAAATTCTTGTGTCGTATTAATGGCTCACTTCCTGACTTTATTTCTTTGAGCGGTTAATTAGAAAAACAAATACCTGGCTATCGCAAGAACCAATCTTGTTCTTTGATCAGTCGGTGGAGAAACTTGCCGGCAAAAAGCAATTGTAAAAATAGAAAACTGGAGTCTTTATTTTAGCTTTGAGTGATTTTCACTCTTGGACGTGGGCTCATCAGCGACATGCCCATCGATATTTAAAGAGAATATACTTAAATTTCAGACTTTATTAATGAGACTGTCGTATATTTATTAAGATCAGGAAAGAGACTGCACAGATCAGATTGTTTCATGTTAGGTCGCTACTATTTAAATGAAACATTTTTTATTTATAGCCTTAAGATTTATTTTATTGAGTGAATTTTTCATCATCCTCGTCAAATTGTCATCTAGGTGTGGCAATTCTCAGCTTGGCAAGTCAGTTGTGGCTCAGACTATTTTTATCGGAGAGGTTGCCTATTTATAACTTCTGCCTTTCCTTGTTTAGTGTAGGTATTGTAAATGTTATATTTAATATATTGTTTATAAATAGAAAGAAAATCGCATATTTTTGCAGAATACAGAGACCTATGTAAATTATGTAAACGAGGCCTTACACAAACACACTATGACGGCGTTTGGCAATATTAATATTTTAAATTTCTTTATGAACAACCCCAAAACAGTACCGTAGCGCGGGGAGGGGCCGGGGGACCCTCCCTCCCCCCCTCCCAATAATTTTGACAGGCACGTTTACAGTAATTTGGTCAGCGGAACGCTCTTCACGCTGGTCTTCGGTTCCATGTGTTCATTTCAGTTCGATAAAGCTTGAAAATTATTTCGTATTTATGGCTTCAACAAACAAAAATTAAGCGGGTATTAAACAAAGTACACTTCTTAAGTGGGAAATTAATGCTCTCGGAAGGCTTAAAATGCTATTTCAGAGACCCTATATTTCAAAATCTTCCGAGGGTGCATGCCCCCGGACCCCCCTGGCAGCTCGCGCCTTCAGTGCTCGGGATTGCCCCCCCCCTTAATAAATCTAACCTTGCTACGGCACTGCAAAGCGATACCTATTACGGGTAAAAATACTGGCATCCAGTCCTGGACGGGGCGGGGCGTTTACGACCTAACCATTAACCAATAAAGTATTTAATTTCCTTCTCATTCACCATGGCATTTTTACAGTGAACTGGTGTTTGCCACCACAGACAGCTTTCTTCGGCCTTGTGAAACAGTCTCTTTTGAAGCACAGAGTGTGACACCATTCCGTTTAGTAGACGAAGAAGTTTGTTTTCGGAAGTAAAGCAATATTTTTTGACGAATTTGCCGGTTCTTCCATAAGCAGATTGATGGGTTTGTGCAGGAATTGAGGAAAGCTAGAGTTTCCGCCCAACTATAGTGGTTATAAGTCTTAATGTCCTGCTTCAAAATCTGGTGATAAATTGTGACAAATAAAACGGGTATGTTAAATAACAAATAGAATCCCACGATGAAAGAAACAGTTTTTGTAAGCTTTTCTTGTCTCTGTCGCCACTGAAAATTGGTAATATGCCCGATATGGAGTTGAACTTGGCGTCGGTGTCGACGCCAAACGAGCACCATTCCTACGTTTGCAGCTCCTGACAGCAAAAGAGAGAGAAACCACACAAGCAAATGCGTCGCTCTGGAGACATTGTTTATTCCCACCCATTGCAGACTTGTTAAAGAGACATTAAACATCCAGATGGCCAAGATATATTTAACGGCTCGTTTCGACGAGAAGACGTTGTTGTATCTTGCATAAAGACGGACTGCCACAAATCGCTCGTAGCTTACAGCTGTAAGAGTCATAAAAGACACTCCGCAACAAATGTAGAAGGCATTAGAGTACATAACTTGAACGAAGCACGGAACTGTTCGATGCTGATTTTCCATAAGTCTGAAGGTGATGTAACCTGGTTGAACTGTGAGACCGACTAAAATATCCGATAGAGCCAAGCAGCCTATCAAGAGATTTGATGGTGTTCGAAGTAGAGTGTTCTTAAAGATGGCAATGGTAATCAAAAGGTTCAAGATGACGGCAAAAGGGGAGGAAATGATATTTATGATGGCTGTCAGAAGATTTACCAGGAAACGCTCTGAAACTCGGTCAAAAGATGGATCAGGAAGATGAAAGCAAGATGACGTTGACGTACTGTTAGCCATGGAGAGGTTGTCAGCCTCCTTGACTGACTGCAATGTTACAAGAAAAGTATTTAAAAAATTTTAAAAACAGCAATCGTTTAAGACAAGGAAAATATTCCGGAAGCTGGTAGCTTCCTTTTGATAATTGGTATAAAACACAAATTCAATCCATTGCTGACAGAAAATTGATGCGTGTTGTAGTTAAAGGCCATTAAGCGGCAGTGAGATACTTTTTGGCTTGAAAGCTGAAAAAAGGTTTCTGCGGAAGAAAACTTCAAATTTGCCGCTTTGGATCTTTTATCACTATTATTTGGGGTCAAAATATAAGTTTGCAAATTCCTACCAACAACGCGGGGACCAGAAAAGAAGCAATCCTCTAGCTTGTTCCAGGCGTTCAGACTGAGTGGGGAGCGGTGCGAAGCAAAAAGGAGCGCGAAAAAATAAAAGCGAGGGAGGGGGCTCTCCCCAGTCCCCCTCTACTTTTCATCGCTTTCTTTACTTCGCACCGCTCTCCACTATCTGAACGCTTGGAACAGGCTAGCAATCCTTATATTGCATCAACCGTGAGCAAATTATTTTTGACTAGTGTTTCGGTAAAAAAATAATACTTGGCTTCTTGTTTTAGCACTTATACTTATTTAGTTGACTTAGTTCCGCGCAAAAGTCCTAAAAAGTAAAGTATAAAACACAACAGAACGCTCTACTGGAACTAGCTGGAACTGGCCAAAGCTGAGCAATAAAGAAAACAGTGATGTAGTTTTTCTCCCTGTCATTTTATGAGCCTTGAACGTTATCCACACTTAATCGCCTCGAATTCAGACAAGAGATGATTTTCTCTTGCTTCTTAAATGTTATCCGCTCACAACAAGAAAGAAATGAAGGCAACAGGATAAAATAGTTTGTTTACATTTCCCATATTAAATGCTCAAATAACTTGCCATCATCATTTATAAAGAATATCAACATTACGTGATGGGAATTCAAATTATTCCATTATATCGGGACAGAATTGTGTTTTATTAGTTGGTGGAATATTCAACATATTGTCAACAGGTTGTCATGATTGCCGGCACAGGAAGCCGTTTGCTCTGTGTAGGTGCATCTCTGTCCAAGATCTATGAATTTATTAACAAAGAACGCTTAACCAAAAGCTCCGTTGTTGTTCTGGTGGTATTTTAAACAATAAGTAGCCTAAAAAACAATTCAAATAAACTTTAATCGCTTACTATCTCTTCTCCTCACAATTTATTTTCGCGCATTTAAAATTCTGCTGGTTCATGTAATTTACACGCGAATGATCTTCGCACGTTAACAGCGATATTATTTTTTAGTTTTACAATTCTATGCCTTAAAGATCGTTTCTTTAAACAATTTAGACCTGTTTAAGCCTTAAAAAGGGCTTCTTTTTTGTCATAACCCTTGAATATATTGACTGATCTACTTTCATATAAGCCTAGTCAGCTGCCTTCTCTTGTTTGATTTGCTATACCGGTATATTTCATTCCGAGCTTTTGACTGTTAGAGTTTAAAACCCTCGTAGAGACCCGACACTTATTAGTGCTGGTCAAAACCCCATATAATTCCAGTTCGCCCGTTTCACATCAAACGAAAAACGAGAATACCTTTAAATTGTTGATTTCAGTAGTCTTTTCATGTAATATGGCAGGGACTTTGCTTTTACAAATTAAATGCGTATATTTCCCACAAGTAAAATCGTCTACGCTCAATAATGACCTGAAAGTTTTCTCGGGATGAATCCCAACTTACCTCTACAATTATCTGTACTGTTTTTATGACCAATGAATATACAAACAAGAGAAACTATGTCACACTGAGCCACCTTATCCATCGTCAGTAATATCACACGGCACGTGCACTTGCCCCGTAAACCTGGCTATCATGTGAAAAACAAACCTCTCTATCTTGCCTACTTCAGAAATTCACTTAAAAGGAATTTTATAGAATTAACTTTTTTCCTTGAACGTGACTCGACTATCAGGAGAACTTAACTTTCCATTAACATCTTAACACCCCCTGGTGTCTATCTTCTTAATGGTGCGTAGTCACAATTTAGTTGGTTTAAAAATAAAAGCAGTAGTACCGATACGGGTTGGCCCTGTTCGGTTTGAGTCAGAAATATCAACATATATGTTAATAATCATTGTGCTCTTTTTACATATCGTCGAAATCAGTACTTTTGAAATTTTCCCTTGAAGTCATAAATTTTCAGACTTTAATTAATCGATCGATTTGTTCCATCGGATACAGCATCTCTGCAGTCTTTTTTTTTTTTTTTCAACAACTTATTATATATATATTTTTTATCAAAAGCAAGAGTGCCCATACTTATTCCCCCCGAATTCTTGCTTTTGTTATTTTTTGTCGGAAAACTGCAAAAATTAATCATTATACAAAATCCCATGTAGTACAGTGTAGGGAGCAAATAAAAACAAATGTTCCATGTGCCATGAGGACAAGGCGAAGAGTACTTTTCCTTGAAAGAATTAAAAGGCTAAAATAAATCGCAGATTCACGCAGTCAATAAATGAAAGAAACAGTAATAACTTCACAAATTACACTCACCAGCAACAGTACTAAATAAAAAATAACTTTTCTCTTCGGCGACCCTTAGAGTTTTCCCGAAATTTTTAGACGGGCGCCAATGATAAGCTGCGTTACTATCGAAGATGTTTACACAAGACAACGGCCTGTAAAAATAAATGAATAAAGAATCGGCGCCTGCTACGCAGGCTCCTCTGGAATCCAAGATCCTGGGTTGAATTGTTCAAAGCTAGGTTAATATAACCCAGGGTTAGTGCGAAATTTGAATCCAGATTTGAAACCTTAAAAAGCAAATTAAGTTAAAAAGACAGAATCCGTCAGGAAATTGAGTAATTTTAATTTTCAGTGGACAAAACCTTTGTCCCAGAATAATTTAAAGCATACCGCATTCGTTTTTACCTTCAGTTCAAGGGCTAAAGAGTAAATTAGTCATCTGTAATAACACCAAAGAAAATTTCTTTTTGGAGCCCGAGAAAATAAATGTCAAATTTCACAAAACGACATCTTATACATGAAAATTTTAAATTTATTTTCTCAGACTCCCAGAAGGAATTTTCCTTAGTGTTACTACAGATGACTAATTACATCTTTAGCCCTTGAAATGCAATATTCCTTAAATTATGCTGGTACAAAGTTAAGGTGACTCGACCCAATTATTTTGTGGAGGTACCATCCTACTTTGAAGCTCTCTGGTATCCCCACCTTTACTTTGATCGTAGGTCCAACATATACCATGGATAACATATAGATCAATCTCCAATATAGCATAAAAGTTTTGGCGATCGGAGTAAATGTCACGTGGTTATAGTGCCACGCCTCTTTCGGGTCTGAGTCGAAATTCTGCTGTTGCCGGCATTTTTTCGTGAAAATCTCTCGGCTACATATAGTGCGCATTAGTGCCTTGCGTTCAACAGAGTTTCACCTAAATCGCAAAGACCCAATTCGAGAAATTCAACGATTTGCAAATTTAGGTCATAATTTATGCGAAAATGATAAGCAAAACTTTACACGATTATATCTAATAAACTATGGGATTTATCCCTTTATTTTGGGGATCTTTACAACAGATGGGTCCTTGCAAGTCAGTAAAAAGCTTTAGGGCCTTTGTAAATGCGCGCGATTTCGAGCAATGCGAACATATACAAATTAAAGACCCGAAAGAGGCGAGGCACTATAACCAAGTGACATTTACTCCGATCGCCACATACGGCCACATACGGCCAGGAAAATCGGCAAATGCTTCACGAAGACAATCACTTCTTGATTTCACGAAGTAAATACGTTGCATATGGTCTCTTGCAATGTGATATTTTAATAGTTTGCTTAGAGACAAATGGAATTTTCTCTCCGTCAAAGGCCTAGTATTCACTTAAAAAATCGTCCCCGTGTCTAACAAAAAATCATGCAGTCAAGATGTACAGAGCGGCATTGATCCAAGAACAAATATAGGTGTTTTCAGAAAAAAGGTTTCCTTGAATGCCGTTATTTTACATGTTAAAATTTATCCTTGCACTCAAGAATTAACCCAAAATGTATATTGGATTGGCCACAACTGTCATATTTAAAACCCAAATATGGCAAAGTTATAATGAGGCCAACATGTGCCTAAAAATATGCACATGAAGTTAGTCTTGTAAGTAATAAATTAGGAACCATCTGAAAAATTAAGGGTGCTAACGCCCCAACCCTTTTCCCTCACCACTAAAGCCCTTCTCTCCCCAGGGTCTCCGAATCAGGGGTTTGATAGGTAGATGTATGCCCCATGATTATCGTGGTAATTAAAGGCTGGTCATGGACGACTGACCCAAGCTGCTGACTAGAGCGGGGAGCCCGAAGCTCCTTTTGGGCCTCAGCCAGGGACCCATCTATCACCAAGTAAAATTTTTAAGACAGTTAAAGTACCTTGAGTACAGTATTCCGCAAATGTTTTGTAGTCTTTCCTTGGCTTCCTTAAATTGCGACGGGTCGTCCTTCTTTCCTCGGAGCTACGCGACGAGCAAAAATGTAAAGTTATGAACATCTACTGTGACTCAAAAGTAAAACAAGAGGCTGTTCGCAGTCTATGGTTTCCCTTGCAGTCTGGGACTGCCTACAAAACATTGCTTGTCAGTACCGATCAGGCTTGAAACAGCCATGGCGCCTGCATACATTTGAACCACTTCACACTTAAAAACCATTTTTGACTCTTCAACATCCAAGCAGAACCAATACTTAGAAGCAATACCATTACATACTAAGACAAGCCCCTTAATAATGCTAACTTTGAAACTTGGCCTTCAAGTTACCGTAAGAACGCGCTAAGCCTTGGCATCTTTAACGGTCGCTTGTGAAAACCATTTTGCCAACTTCTGTGGTTTTTATTTCACGTCGACTGTTTTAAGATTGTATTACACAGAATGAGATAATTCTAAAATGACCTTAGCAAACTTATATTATTATCATCATTATTATTATTTTACTGTTATGATTTTTGCTATTACATTAATATCATTATTATTAATTAAAAATTGTGAAAAATTTTTTTCAAACTGGCATTTTACTTATCTTCAAAGAGGATGCAGTCAAAATTCTCCCTTGTTTTTTAGCTTGAGGTAGTTCATAAGCGTGAAGAGGAAGCCCTCCTAACTGCCGATGCATATCGGGTGGCATTTGAGCAGCAGCTAGCGAAGAACTCCTCACTCATTTACGAACTACTAGAAAAGTCAAGATGGAAAAAGAAGATCAGTTTCCCCGGAAAAAGAAAAGAAAAAACAACGGGTAAAAATGGGTTAAAAAACGAAGAAGAACAGTTGCTCCAACAGATTAAAGCCCACAAAGACGACATAGTTGCAAAGCTCCTTGGAATGGTAAGCGTTTATGAAAAGAAAATCTTACAAATTCACAGCTCATGGAGGATTTTCGGTTGAATAATAGTCCAGTCTTTGTTTTCGTTCTTCCAGGGTTCCTCGAAAGCTCAGGCGACAATCGCTGTCCAATGGTTACGGCAGCGGTTGAGCAATCTTTTTAAGAGGATATAAGATCTGTCGAATTTGTTTCTCAAAACTTCATTGGCTTAAAACAAACATATGATTGGAAATAACGCTAATGTGGGTAGATAAAGGCACAATGTGCACTTCTTATGAGTATAAATGTGATTATTTCCTTGGTTGCTAACCCCCAAAATTTAGATTTTTCCCGGGAGGCCCTAAGACTCCTCCAAAGGAAGCTAAGAGGCGGGTGCTTCCCTTTCCATACCCACTCAAACACGTGAGTGCTTCCAATCTAATCTGTTGCTCTTCTCCTTCTTATTTAAATTTTCTAGAGAACTCTGTATTTCTGCTGTGGGTCTCTGTTGAACTTAAATTTATTGATAATGTAGCGAAGCGAATCAAAAACTGCACCTGACTATATCGTCACCCTCCACGTTTACATGTTATGTGTCAGTACTGCTTTTCTTTGTTATTTGCAGCTCACTGACAATAGCGAGGCTCTTGCCCATCAAAGACTAGCGACCAAACTGTTGGCAGCGAAGATGAAAGCGATGGAGAGAGATAGTTCTGCATTTTCATCAAAGGCGTTACAAATTGAGACTTGAATGGTACAGCTCTGGTTAAAAGTGTTGAAAAGTACAGTGAAGTTATAAAATAAGTTCCACTCGGCGTCAAAATTCCTTGAGATACTTTATCTGCAAATAATTTTTTTGATCATTTATCCTATCGCATTTTTTGAGAAACGCCAAGACCAAAAATTGAACATTTAGGTCCTCTTCCCCCCCGCCCCCCCTCCCCTTACTAGTTCAGCTGATCAGTGGGCTTATAGGTAGCAAAGAACAGTTAGCACCATAGAAAATAGGGTGGCCCAAACAGGTAACACCCGTGAAAGAACTAACAATAATGGTGGCTTGAACAGTAGCATCATATACAATAGGGTGGCTCAAACAGTTAACACCCGTGGAAAAGCTAAGAACATGGTGGCTTGAACAGTTAGCACCATAGAACTTATAGTATCAAACTTGTACCCGGTTCACGTTGAAAGTATCTTTACAGTTTTGTCGCCGATTGTAAGTTTTGGTTCTCAAGAAAAAGTGTCAAGAGGATTTTATGAGCGTGTACGGAGAGCGTTTTCGATTGATTTTTGCTCGTTCTCTTTTTGGTGCGACAAATTCTTGTGTCGTATTAATGGCTCACCTCCTGACTTTATTTCTTTGAGCGGTTAATTAGAAAAACAAATACCTGGCTATCGCAAGAACCAATCTTGTTCTTTGATCAGTCGGTGGAGAAACTTGCCGGCAAAAAGCAATTGTAAAAATAGAAAACTGGAGTCTTTATTTTAGCTTTGAGTGATTTTCACTCTTGGACGTGGGCTCATCAGCGACATGCCCATCGATATTTAAAGAGAATATACTTAAATTTCAGACTTTATTAATGAGACTGTCGTATATTTATTAAGATCAGGAAAGAGACTGCACAGATCAGATTGTTTCATGTTAGGTCGCTACTATTTAAATGAAACATTTTTTATTTATAGCCTTAAGATTTATTTTATTGAGTGAAGTTTTCATCATCCTCGTCAAATTGTCATCTAGGTGTGGCAATTCTCAGCTTGGCAAGTCAGTTGTGGCTCAGACTATTTTTATCGGAGAGGTTGCCTATTTATAACTTCTGCCTTTCCTTGTTTAGTGTAGGTATTGTAAATGTTATATTTAATATATTGTTTATAAATAGAAAGAAAATCGCATATTTTTGCAGAATACAGAGACCTATGTAAATTATGTAAACGAGGCCTTACACAAACACACTATGACGGCGTTTGGCAATATTAATATTTTAAATTTCTTTATGAACAACCCCAAAACAGTACCGTAGCGCGGGGAGGGGCCGGGGGACCCTCCCTCCCCCCCTCCCAATAATTTTGACAGGCACGTTTACAGTAATTTGGTCAGCGGCCACGCTCTTCACGCTGGTCTTCGGTTCCATGTGTTCATTTCAGTTCGATAAAGCTTGAAAATTATTTCGTATTTATGGCTTCAACAAACAAAAATTAAGCGGTATTAAACAAAGTACACTTCTTAAGTGGGAAATTAATGCTCTCGGAAGGCTTAAAATGCTATTTCAGAGACCCTATATTTCAAAATCTTCCGAGGGTGCATGCCCCCGGACCCCCCTGGCAGCTCGCGCCTTCAGTGCTCGGGATTGCCCCCCCCCCTAATAAATCTAACCTTGCTACGGCACTGCAAAGCGATACCTATTACGGGTAAAAATACTGGCATCCAGTCCTGGACGGGGCGGGGCGTTTACGACCTAACCATTAACCAATAAAGTATTCAATTTCCTTCTCATTCACCATGGCATTTTACAGTGAACTGGTGTTTGCCACCACAGACAGCTTTCTTCGGCCTTGTGAAACAGTCTCTTTTGAAGCACAGAGTGTGACACCATTCCGTTTAGTAGACGAAGAAGTTTGTTTTCGGAAGTAAAGCAATATTTTTTGACGAATTTGCCGGTTCTTCCATAAGCAGATTGATGGGTTTGTGCAGGAATTGAGGAAAGCTAGAGTTTCCGCCCAACTATAGTGGTTATAAGTCTTAATGTCCTGCTTCAAAATCTGGTGATAAATTGTGACAAATAAAACGGGTATGTTAAATAACAAATAGAATCCCACGATGAAAGAAACAGTTTTTGTAAGCTTTTCTTGTCTCTGTCGCCACTGAAAATTGGTAATATGCCCGATATGGAGTTGAACTTGGCGTCGGTGTCGACGCCAAACGAGCACCATTCCTACGTTTGCAGCTCCTGACAGCAAAAAGAGAGAAACCACACAAGCAAATGCGTCGCTCTGGAGACATTGTTTATTCCCACCCATTGCAGACTTGTTAAAGAGACATTAAACATCCAGATGGCCAAGATATATTTAACGGCTCGTTTCGACGAGAAGACGTTGTTGTATCTTGCATAAAGACGGACTGCCACAAATCGCTCGTAGCTTACAGCTGTAAGAGTCATAAAAGACACTCCGCAACAAATGTAGAAGGCATTAGAGTACATAACTTGAACGAAGCACGGAACTGTTCGATGCTGATTTTCCATAAGTCTGAAGGTGATGTAACCTGGTTGAACTGTGAGACCGACTAAAATATCCGATAGAGCCAAGCAGCCTATCAAGAGATTTGATGGTGTTCGAAGTAGAGTGTTCTTAAAGATGGCAATGGTAATCAAAAGGTTCAAGATGACGGCAAAAGGGAAGGAAATGATATTTATGATGGCTGTCAGAAGATTTACCAGGAAACGCTCTGAAACTCGGTCAAAAGATGGATCAGGAAGATGAAAGCAAGATGACGTTGACGTACTGTTAGCCATGGAGAGGTTGTCTGCCTCCTTGACTGACTGCAATGTTACAAGAAAAGTATTTAAAAAATTTTAAAAACAGCAATCGTTTAAGACAAGGAAAATATTCCGGAAGCCGGTAGCTTCCTTTTGATAATTGGTATAAAACACAAATTCAATCTATTGCTGACAGAAAATTGATGCGTGTTGTAGTTAAAGGCCATTAAGCGGCAGTGAGATACTTTTTGGCTTGAAAGCTGAAAAAAGGTTTCTGCGGAAGAAAACTTCAAATTTGCCGCTTTGGATCGTTTATCACTATTATTTGGGGTCAAAATATAAGTTTGCAAATTCCTACCAACAACGCGGGGACCAGAAAAGAAGCAATCCTTTAGCCTGTTCCAGGCGTTCAGACTGAGTGGGGAGCGGTGCGAAGCAAAAAGGAGCGCGAAAAAATAAAAGCGAGGGAGGGGGCTCTCCCCAGTCCCCCTCTACTTTTCATCGCTTTCTTTACTTCGCACCGCTCTCCACTATCTGAACGCTTGGAACAGGCTAGCAATCCTTATATTGCATCAACCGTGAGCAAATTATTTTTGACTAGTGTTTCGGTAAAAAAATAATACTTGGCTTCTTGTTTTAGCACTTATACTTATTTAGTTGACTTAGTTCCGCGCAAAAGTCCTGAAAAGTAAAGTATAAAACACAACAGAACGCTCTACTGGAACTAGCTGGAACTGGCCAAAGCTGAGCAATAAAGAAAACAGTGATGTAGTTTTTCTCCCTGTCATTTTATGAGCCTTGAACGTTATCCACACTTAATCGCCTCGAATTCAGACAAGAGATGATTTTCTCTTGCTTCTTAAATGTTATCCACTCACAACAAGAAAGAAATGAAGGCGACAGGATAAAATAGTTTGTTTACATTTCCCATATTAAATGCTGAAATAACTTGCCATCATCATAAAGAATGTCAATATTACGTGATGGGGATTCAAATTATTCCATTATATCAGGACAGAATTGTGTTTTATTAGTTGGTGGAATATTCAACATATTGTCAAGAGGTTGTCATGATTGCCGGCACAGGAAGCCGTTTGCTCTGTGCAGGTGCATCTCTGTCCAAGATCTATGAATTTATTAACAAGGAACGCTTAACCAAAAGCTCCGTTGTAGTTCTGGTGGTATTTTAAAAAATGAGTAACCTAAAAAACAATTCAAATAAACTTTAATCGCTTACTATCTCTTCTCCTCACAATTTATTTTCGCGCATTTAAAATTCTGCTGGTTCATGTAATTTACACGCGAATGATCTTCGCACGTTAACAGCGATATTATTTTTTAGTTTTACAATTCTATGCCTTAAAGATCGTTTCTTTAAACAATTTAGACCTGTTTAAGCCTTAAAAAGGGCTTCTTTTTTGCCATAACCCTTGAATATATTGACTGATCTACTTTCATATAAGCCTAGTCAGCTGCCTTCTCTTGTTTGATTTGCTATACCGGTATATTTCATTCCGAGCTTTTGACTGTTAGAGTTTAAAACTCTCGTAGAGAC